AATGAAAATACATATTTAAGTTAAGAACACCCCTGGGATGTTATAGCATCTTTTCCTTTGAAATCCACGGAAGTGGCACTTTAAATCATCGATTTTACTGATTTTTACAATTTTCGCAAAAAAAAAGGCTCCAACGATTTTGCTTAAACTTGATATATTAATGTATAATTAAGTGGTATTTAATATCATTTAGGCCTTATCCCCATTGATGGCGCTTAACAGAGCTTAAATGCTTCATAATATGTTATAATCTTAAATATATCTACTGTAGCGTAATAACTCTTGATTCGATATTATATTTAAATAGTTAGATATATACCGTCGGTTTGTTCCAAAAGTTCTTCATGTTACATTTTATCAAATTAAATTATTGAATAATTTGATGAATTTTACCTTTGTGAAATCATAACATGCTTCACTCTGCAATTACTGTGACAATTTTTGACCTATCGACAGTAGGTAATGAAAATCTCTTAACTCCATTTTCTATACTATACAATGAAAAAACGAAAGTTTAATAACTAATAATAGTGCAATCCATAATAATTTATTAGTTAAATCATCGGCATCATGTTAAATTAAAGAATGTTCACCTGCCCAACGTTTCACATTCGTTACATTAACATGATGCCGAAAAAAAAATACTTTCAAGTCTCTCTAGACAAATATAGTTCAGAGAATGGAGGTATGTAATTAACAAAAACAGATGGAGTTGTTAGGTTTTTATTTTCTATCTTCCATATAATAAATAGCAATAATAAATTTTATGATAATACCTTCCACTTCAGAGAATTTTCGTAATGAAAACAGTTGTAAGATAAGAAGGGCCCACGATAGGGAACACTTGCCGGACTAATTCCTCCCAACAGTTCCAGTACAGTAGACTATTAAAGAGAATGTCGAAACAAACATTCTGAAAGATACATGCCAAACTGCGTGTCAGTTTTTGTGTTGATTTTAGCAACTCCTGGTTTTCTCAAACATCGATGATAATACTTCAAAAGGAAACATCCAATTTTTGGAATTATGCCTCTTTTTAAGGCCGCCTTGTAAATAACCAATTAAAAGTTAAATGTAAATATTTCTTTTGGCGGATTTTGTAAATATTCCTTCCATTTTATCGGGGTACTAGGTTATTAACAGTCGTGATTTAATTTTTTTAAAACAATACCCCGGTCTTCCTTCTTTGAGTATTTATTGATATGAAACTTTTCAATGAACAATTTGTCCACTGCACTATTGAGTACAATTCATAGTGCAACCTAACATTCCCATATATTCTTTCTCATACCTTCACACAATGTCACATAAAGGAGTAAATACTGGGGGCTATCTTTATATAGCCTTCTTCTTCACTGTGCGCTCCGTTGGTACTAAGGCTGTCCTCATGTGGAAATTATCATGATTATTATCTTATTACTTAACATAGGATAAAATAAATTAAAAAGAATGCCACATAAAACAACTATAAATCGAATAAAAGACTTAATATATAATTTTATGTTTATATGTCGTCGACCTGAGGAAGAAAATGCGTTAGGGAAGAAAGCGGGGGGCCCGAAAACTTTTCTCATTTATCGTAAAGAGCTTTCTTATTTAACTTTAGCAGATGATCCGCCTGGTTCAGGTCTCAGGATACTTTTCACGTCTCCTACTCATCATACAATTATCAAGATAATAACGTTTCTCCAGAAAACATTTTCAATCAGTTATACAAACTATATTATACAAGACATACAGAGCTTCCGATGGTTTATCATACGAAAAAAAAAACAACATGATTTATACTTTGATTAAACTTGAAATCTTATCTGAATATATTTGAGAGTTTTGTTTGTTGTTATTTAAAAACGTAAAAAACCTAGGTCTTCAATGCCTATATTTGATAGATTTCTGCTCATTTTTAACCAAAGTTTCATTCCGAGGTATCGTATAAGAAATTTTCTTTCAAAACAATTGTTTTTTTCATTCATTGAAATTTACTACTTTATAAATTAATACAAGTAAATCTGCTATAAAAATTTAAAACATAAGAAGAATCTACCCATTGAAAATACTTCAATGATTAATTTTAAAGGTCTCTTGGCCATCTTCTTTACAAAAAATTGGGAAGGTTGTCAGGAATGGTTATGGATGAAATGATATGAACTAGACGGTTATGGTGACCAACGAGTTAGGAATTAAAAGGGAAATATGTGATTCGGGTCATATCTGCAAAGAAGAGAGTATTGAGATCTATATGGATAATTTTATTTTAAACGTAATAAGGGACTTTGTATAAAGCGATCTCGGTCAATCTCCACTGGCTTTAACAGCAGCGATGCGGTTGAGGGATCTCTTGGAGTCCTTTTAATTTATTTGTCAATAGGTTATTTTATTTTGTATTGTGCATAGTTTTTGATTATTATTATATTTTTGTTCATTTTGTGTTTTCTGTATATATGGTGTAAATGTGTTCATATCTCACTATAATTGTTGGCCACGTTACATATTTATTAATAAATTAAAAAAAAAATAAGCAGCTTTAAGGATTTTACGTACAATTTTGGATTTTAAGGATTACGAATTTTAGTCCACAGTACTGGTACTGTTGGGAGGAACTAGTATATTATATTGTGAGTTCTATTGTGGGCCCTGTTTATCTTATCATAACCTACAACTTTTTTCTTAACGAAAATTCTCTGAAGTGGGGGGAGGGGGTGGATTGGTGTTCTCATGAAATTAACTAATTATGAAAAGAATTTCATGATTTTTTGGAGCTGTTTATTAAAAAATCTGGTGCGCTCAACACACTACTTTCACCTACCGCTCAACTTTAAATAGAAATTATTTTCTGGCCGAAATTGGGCTATTATAAAATATTTGAATTGCATTTTAACCGAGCTAAAGCTAAAAAAAAAAAAAATACAGGTAAGAAATCATAAATACCATTAAAATAACAAAAGTCCTATCTATTATATCACCGGTTGATTATGGATTGAACAACTATTTGTTATTAAACTGTTATTTTCCATTTGTATTGTCTGTCATAGACAGGTCAAAACTTATCACTCTAATTGTAAGTGGATACTGTTGGAATATCACAAAAATAAATTTCATCAAATTATTCACTAATTTAATTTTCTAAAAGATTGAATTAAATGATGATTTTTCGAAATTAACGGACGATTGATACCTAAATATTTAAATATAATATCAGATCTAGAGTTATTAAACTATATTTATAGTAACTATAGAGTTATAGTAACTATATTTAAATTTATAAACGTATCTATGAAATATTTTTATTTCCCACTTCTTCTTTCACACAAGTACAATGGAATAGAAGTGGATACTGTTGGAATATTACAAAGGAAAGATTCATCAAATTATTCACTCTTTTATGACAATACTTGGGAATAAACGGACGTTGATACCTAATTATTTAAATATAGTATCAGATCTAGATTTATTAAAACCAGATGGATAGATTAAATAAAAGAATGAGAATGTAAAGATGGAGAATACTGATTAAGGCGGCATAAGATCTACAAGGTCTGTAATACATATGGGGAAAAACTCTTTCAATTTTTTTTTTTTTTTTTTATAAATGAATAATTAATACGTGTTTGTTAAAATAAATAAGATACAAACTATTGTAAAGATATATCTTAAAATACAAGACGTAATATTTCGTATGTCGTGGTCTGCGCGTTATTCCCATAAAATATTTAAGTGATTATATTTTTTATTGTATATACTTTTTGATTACTATTTAGATAAGTTTATTTTATTTTATGTATACATGGAGATATTGTGTTCTCACCTCAATACAATTATTGTCCGTATGACAGATTGTGATATTACAGAATAAAAAAAATGAAAAATTCCCATAAAATATATTGTATACTAAATACATTACCATACATTAGCAATATATTTTAATTTTAACATTCACAAGTAGTGAATAAGTGTCTCATTTTTCTCTGGACTTACATACCGAACAGTTATCTTTGTCCTTATGTTTCCGCGACTTAACGCTAAACCTAAGCAATGCTGTCCTACACCGGAAGGTGAACCGTATCGATGCAAGATCAAATCAGTCATTGAGACACGGTTATAACCAACAATAATATAATTGTTAGATAAAAATTAACAACGGGGAGAGGTTTCAGTATTGTGTAATAAACTGACATTACATAAATTAGCCAAAATGTTTTTAATTTTTAAATTATATATGTAAATATATCAATAGGAAATAAGATTGTAAAAATAATTTATTATGAACTATAATAAGACTGAAAATATTCAAAAGGCATAAATGTAAAATAAGGTATGACAGACTGATCATTTGTGGAATTTTAATATTAGAAATAAGCATTAAGTCATAATCAACTATTTGCTGACCACCTGTCATCTGTATTTACACTATTCCCTGACTTCCTGAACAAAAAACATAAAAACTTAGTACTGAATACTCTAGATATACCTTAATTAAGACTACTAACAGCACCTCCCTGGTTCGTAAACAATAAAACTTTACATACCGACTTACAACCGACTACCGACGAACACATACTTACTCTCTATTCCCGATTTCATCTTAAACTACACGAACATCACAAGGGACTTATCAACGACATGTCCACAGCTGACATGCCTATCAGGAGACGACTAAAGAGGAGCTGGATGAGAGATCTCCTTTCCTAAATTATGAAGTATACCAAGACCAGGAAGAGGTACTTCTGGGTACTAATCTTCCTCATGCCTAAAATGCCAATTTTCTTTACATTGAGATCACACCTGCTTATTGTCAAGATTATGACAGCTGTGGATAAAAGTATGAAGAAAGAAAAATAAGTCATAATAACTGCATTAAAATGTATATCAATAATAATTTAAGATTTTTTTCGATGTAAAAACAAACTACAAAACTCTTCATTGTTGACTACATCAACCATTAATGGAGTTCTTACTGTAAACAAGACAAACAAAATAAAACAATTATCTGTTAAATGAATTTTTTTTTTAATATGCTAACAATCGCCTAGATTGTGACAATGTTCAATGCATTCTTTCATTTTTCAGGCATTACATTCCAGGCTGAAGAATGACGTCAACACACTCCAACAGGAGTTTTCTAAACTCCATTGTGTTACAGTGCTCCGGTGAAGGTATTTATTTTACAATTCTTCTACAGTAAAAAAAAAATATATATTTAATCAATATATGATTAAATTTATACAAGAAGACTTATTTTAATCCCACAGTTATTATTTTATTTTTATTTTCAGTTTATTTAAATATTCCGTTTTTTTTTTGTTTTTTTTACATTTCTGAATTTTTACTTTCAGAAGTATTTTAGTATTTTTCCTTCTCCATTTTGTCAAAAATACTTTAACTTTTTATAAGTATAGTTTCCAGTTAATATAGAAATCGCTTATAACGTCTTAATTCAACAAATTGATACAAGATTTTTTATAATAACCAATATTTCATTAAAAACGTTTTTGGGAATCACAGAAAGAGATTTGTTTGTATAAATGTAAATCATATATTGATTAAATATAATAATCATACAAAGATAGCGCAAACAAACGAATAACATAAATACGGTCGTTTGTTATAAATTAAAAAAAATAATAACGAACAATAAGAAATATAATAAAAGATTCTGAATCAAACGAGGCCAATCCATTAGAATAAAATCATAGTTTCGAATTACGGGCGATTGTAGGCGATAACGCACAAAATCACAGTACTTTTCTGAATGATGTTATTTAAAAATAAATGGTACCTAAATAATAAAAAATAATAGTATCTAAATATCAAGAAAAAAATAATGGTACCTAAATAATAAAAAAATAATGGTGCCTAAATAGTAACTACTTTATTAAAAAGAAGCCAACAGAAGGTGTGTCATTTTATTTCAAGTATAAAAAGCTCTCCTCCATCTCCTCCCTTAAGAAATTTATGTCTTTTTTATAAGCTTTGTAATAAAATAAAATAAATAATACTAAATCGACGCTTTATGAGAATTTATTAATATACTCAAGGATTTTGGACATTTATCAAGTATATTCGTATATGTACATTGCTGCAACAAAGATAGTCAAGAGGCGGTCATTCAACATCTCATTGGTACGACACAATTTTTTCCATATTGAACGCGTCTTTGTCCCTTCCACCGCATCACTTTTAATAAGAACAGACAAATCGGTTAAGATCCATGAATTAAGGGTTAACAAGCCGATTGGTATCTATATTTCTTTATCAAAAAAATGACCATTCACGAGTTAAACTTCCAATCGGTTTCGAACATCGAACGAACCATTTCGCGATTTCCGAAATAGATTCAGAGGGTCATCACTCTTGAATAGGCTAACAGAGCTCTCAAACTCGTAGGGGATGATTGTCGCGAGAATTTTAGGCTATCTGGCTTTCCCAGGTGGTAGGTCACACATCCTGATACTTGACAAGCTTCGATTGCTTATTTAACTTCGATTACTTACAGCAAGCGTCTTAGCCGCTGGCGCTAGGCGTAGGCTCAGACGATCAGAAATCTATAGTTCTCTCTCTCTCTCTGTTTTTATATACTTATTTATTGTTAACTTGGTTAAGAAGTGACACAATAGGACAAAGTGTAATTTTACAAGAGAAGCGTTTAAAGTTTGCAAATTCACGATTATCGTTGTCTCTATAATTTATAGCTTTTTTATTATTTTAATATGAATCATGGAATTTATTTTGTAGGAGTTTTTTTATAAAAATGCAAAATAATTTATTATAAACTTAAATTTACGGAATCTGTACAGTTTTCACATTAATTTTATACAAAGCCATAAAATTGAACCCAAGGAGAAATCATTTTTTGCATAAATGGTTAAATCATTAATTAAACTTTCAATAATGTAATTGGTAGATCACTTGGGATCACTTTAAATGCATTGATTCAATTAACAGCAATATGGAGAGCTCAATGGTAAGCCGATTAGAGCATGGCGTGTAAGCCTAAAAGCTGCAACCAGACGTTCGGAAACAACGAGCACTCACTAAAACAAAAAGGTGGCGCAAAGCCGGCTAATGGAACTGATGGAGTTTCACGGCCCGAGTCCTCTGGAACCATTCATATTAATACTTCAACAGCGTCCTATCTAAAAATTTTGCTGGGTTTTTGTATTTGGTGTGTATATATATATATAAATATTTTTTTTTTTTTTCATTTTTAAATCACCAGGCTTAGGTATAGAAAAAAAAGTATTCGTTGCATGTTTAAGACAATTTATGACAATATAACATAAAACGAATGACTGATAGCACCGGAATCAGGGTCCAAAAATCGACCTGATCGCAGGCGAATGTAAATTACAAAAGTATAGGTTATTTTAAGTACAATGAACCTTCCCTGCCTTTCCAGAGCCACTGCTTCAAAATGGCGGCTGATTTGAAATTAAAACCGTTGGTACTCGGTGGACGCAAAATTTCATGCTCTACAACTTTTATTCTATGGGTTTTTGCACTTAGGGAACTCATTTACAACCTATTGGACCATTTATAGTATTTTGTCTCAGTTTTTGACAAATTTGGTAAATATCAGCGTTATACCCTGGTTTTGTAACATGCCACTTAATCAAATTATTATGTTTAGGTACTCTTTCGACGCAAAATTTAAAGTTCTTTAATTTATTATTACATTTTTTGCTTTGATGCATTGTTTGTAAGTTATAGGTGAAAAAATATTAAAATATCTTACATTATTGACTTTAAAAAAATTTTCGCTGGCCGCCCACATTGGAAATTTTGTTTTTTATATTTCTAAACCCACTTATATAAGTTGAAAAATAAAAACTTTCATCACATTTTTAGCAATGAATTTCCCCTTTGGATCCTCAAGTTACTGGCCTCATTTTCTTAAAATCAGCCACCATTTTTGAAATTTGAGTTGATTTTATTTAGAATAACATATACTTTCGTAATTTACATTTACGATCAGGTCGATTTTTGTATCCTGGTTCCAGGGCTATAAGGTTTAAGATTTTTTTCTGTTATGTAATAAATAATAAATAATTATTTATACCCGATAGGGTCATCACCAACTACTTTAGCTTAGATTTTTATACTCTACCGTCAAATTCCGTTATTTTCAAGAAACCTATTAGGATTTCTCATCCCTACTTGTATCCTGTATCATATTCTTAGTCCAGTGTTATGCATAGTGTATATTATCTTAAGGACAGTTGTTTTAGCAGAATCGTAAATTATAGAACCATGATCCGTCTTTCTTCCTGTTGTAGCCATATAGATCCTCATTAGGCACGGTCTATCAGCTCCTCAACTTGAGTACGAAGGACACTTAAGCAATTCTAACCTTTTTGAGTAACAATGTTTGAGGCGTTTGATATGGTTAATCCTAGTTATGCGCTTTTGTGGGTACATACGTAAATCTTACCAACCTTAAACAAAAGATAAGTTAATTGATCCTGACCAAAATTTGAAGGTTGTGTGAGCAATCTCTCAAATGCATTTAACACAAAAAATAAATATCATTGTCTCACAAAAGGCAAATTTTATGATAAACTGGATTAGTGTTACAAATACGCTCCAAACTATTACACAATAGTTTATTATTTTCAAATAGTTATATAGCAAATGTAACACTACATTCGTTGCCACCTAGAGACAAACGAATAAAGTTAAATGCTACTATTGGTCTTCATAATTTTTTTTGTTATCACTTGTAATTTGTTAAGAGATGTAGGCAAATATCTCGATTGAGTTGCCGTTGTATAAACTCTATAAAGTTTATTGTATAGGTAAAAAATACTGCATCTATACATTCCATATTTCAATTTTTCCCCCCCTATTGAATATTACTTTTATTTCGGAAAATGGCAAAATACCATATTTCCGAGTCATCTTGCTGAAAAATAAAATAGTATTTAATCAACTAAAGCACGATGATATGTTAAGATGCTGTGGTCCCGTATAGTAGTTATATAATATGGTTCCATCCAATTTTCGGTCTTTTCACAAGAAGTCTCCGACTCTACATATAGTAACGGTCTAATAAACCAGAACAAAATAATGAACGGATAAAATTTAGATTATTTACGAAAAATACAATTCCAAACGATTTACATGAAAGAGTAGAACCAACAAACCAAATTTTAAAGTTTTTCTATCAGAAACAATGTTATTCAAATATTTAATCTTGATGAAAAGAGAGTAAAAAAATATAATAGTATAGGCGGGAAAATTTACTTTCATAATGAATTTCTCAGTTAAAATATTGCGACCAGGAAGGCCCAAGTTGATATTAAAAATTTGGCAGGTCATAACTTCTCCTACCATGACGGACGGGTGGGTCATGGATCGGATTCAGATGCCAAAGAATAGATGTAAAAAAAAGGTTTTTTTTTTTCATTTTTCTGAAAACTCTTGTCTTTAATGAAAAGGCCCTAGCTAAGATAAATTATTACAAAGCTTTAATTTCTGTTTTTCAGGTGACCTGACATCTTTGTCAAAAAATTAATTATGAAAATAAACTTGTTATTCATTAAATCATTACATCAAGTTACAGGGGAAAAAAGTAATTTAATCATCGTAACGATTTATAGGTTATCATTTTATATGAAAATATAGGTACTGAATGGTAGGACAGAATATCAATTCATATATTTAAAAAAAAAACCAGATGTGAATTTCAACTCTATTCTGTAATAAATCTGAGTTGAAAATTAAAGTTTATTAAACAAGAAATCTTTTATAGTCCGTGGTACAGACCCCGTTTTATTGGATTATTAACATCCGCCTGAAACTTCATAAACAGTTTCATCTCATCGTAATCTACTGTTACATTTACAAAAACTTTTGGAATTGGTTTTTTTTTTAATTTGGAGGGGGAGGGGAGCAAACTTTGTCTATTTAATTAGGTACTAAAAACTCGTAAATACCCATTTGCTTTCTGCTTTGGTTGTAGGATAAAAAGAAATTTTGATCACAAAATCGATAAAAAATTGTGGTGGCTTGAAAAAATAAAGGGCCATTTGTCCTATATAATCTCGTTATTTTGAAAATTTGGGGTGTAGGTCACGCCAAACTGCTCAATATTTTTGGTTACCTTTTCTATCGATTTTGTTATTAAATTATCTTACGATCCAAGTAGACAGACAATAAGTATTTATGAGTTTTTAGTATCTAATTAAATAGACAATGGTTGCCCCACACCAGATTGAAAACTCCCCTATTCCAAGAGTTTCCGTAAATAAGTTGTAAGTTACGGTGAGATGAAACTATTTACTAAGTTTCAGGCGGATATTAATAATTCGATAAAAAGGGGTCTGTACCACTATTATAATATGTACGGACTATTATAAAATAGGGGCATCTATAGACTAGTAAAAAAATGAAAAAAAGGGAATAATCCATGTAGTAATGAAAAATACAACTTAACATATTTTATCCACTCAAATGCTAACACTACTTGTGTCTGAAAGGCATTGTGTCTAGTTTGCTATGAAGCAATTTTTAACTATCTAATAACTAAATTAAATAATTTTTTTGTAACAGCTTCCTATGAAAGGGAAAACATGGCCACCTAAAGACTGCATAACATTGAACATATCTTATATTCAGTTCGGATTCGGAGCATTTATCAAATGAAATTTTCAGTTAAACATTTTGGCTAGAAGTACTTCTGAATATGTTTATATCTTCATAGATCCATAAATATAATAATATTGAAATCTAGGTGTGACGGAGGTTTTAGACTGATCCGCTGGCGAGCTTAATACTATCGAAAACAGAATTTTTCATTTCTCTGTTAGACTTTGGAGAATTAGTGTGAATGACAAAGAGGTATTATGCACCTGTGCCGTCGCCATGGCCACCGAGATTACTGGCAATACTTAATTCAAGATCGATACTTAACCTCCACCTTCCGAATATCGAGTCCTCTACGTCACTCCTGTCTCTTTTTGTCCTATTCTCCTCCCCACTACCAAATCTAGTTAAGAAACTAAGTCAGTCTGGAGTTTGCATTTGATTTTGGAAAACATTGGGAAATTAAAGTAAAATAAAAAATATATTAAAGTATATATCTATAGAAAATATAATACACTCAACAGAGATTTCCGTTCTGGATAACTGCTAATTTCGTAAAAAAAAAAAAAATGTTGCCTAACGTTTTTATCTTCGTTTCGCTTGGCAACTTTTTATCTTTTCATTAAAAAAAAATCTTCATTCTTCAAAAATATAAATCATTTTACTACCTTATTTTCAATCATTTAAAGGGTAGACTACTTATAATTTTATGCCACTTCCGAGATTTTGCTGAAAAACGTAAATTTCATATTTCTCGTTATTCTTTAAATTGTTATATAAGCCAGTATGTCAGTATTTATATATAAATAGTATGTATTGAATTTATAAGTAATGCTTAAATATGTAATATGTATTATTTATCATATTTTCAGACACTGTTTTAATTATATTTTGTTTCTTCCATTTCCCTTTGTAGCCGCTTGTACTGAGCACTAATTAACTGGACTGCTATGGAAGCTGCGGCCCTCACATTTATTTTTTCTTTTCTCAGACACAGTTACGGTATCTTGGCCTTATCTTAAACAGACGAATAACATGAAATCTAATAACAAGAACTTAACCGACAATACAACCAACTATACAAATTGCTAATCTACAAGACAATTCTGAAACCTATTTGGACACTATAACAGCAAAATTTTATAATATCAAACGTATCCAATACAATCACTCCAATGTCCTTCGAACAATAGTCGACTCTCCGTTCTATGTAACCAACAAAACCCTGCATTATGATCTTAACATCTCATTTGTCCTAGACCTTATCCAAGAAAAATACTGCTAATTTCTCCAAAACATTACGTATCATCCAAATCCCCTCCCACAATCGCTATCTAGCACAACCCATCCCTATAATCATCCAAGATGATTCAAACGGCAGTGGCCTCGCGACCTTTTGTTGTATGTATATATTGGGGTTCTGGAATGGTTAGACGCTCCACTCAAAACGTGAGTGGAGTGAAAGCGCTCTTGATTAGTTTGCACTGACTTTAGTAGCAATGACGCGAGTCCTGCTTCGAGAGAGTCCTGCTTTTCCCTTCATAGTTCTTATGTCTGCGTTTGTTTTTTAAATTTACTTATTTTTAAGTTATTTTTATTTATTGTAAACAGTTTTTGATTATTTATATTTTATTAATCCTTATTTTACTCCTGTTTATTTTATATTTTTTTAATATACAGTATGAATTTAATATTACCTCGCTATTATTATTGTCTATATGACAGAATGTTATATTGATCAATAATCAATTCAAAAATAATAAAAAATAAAATAAATAAAAGACTAATTAGAATACTTTAGAACCTTTCAATATAATAAGTATCCTAGATTATAATTTTTTTATGAATGATCATTGCGCAGATGTTAACGACCCAGAGGTGAAGAGACGTGCGGACAAAGTGCGGGAGGACTTGCACAAAGTGGAGACCCCGTTTAACTGGCTGACCGACGTTGGGGACAAGGCAGACAATGTCCTATACCAGAGGGCGGTCGCTAGGAATCACCTCTACACCTGGGAGGGCTACCTCAACCCGTGAGTAATAACTGCAATTGTTTTAATATCCCATAATGCCTATACTTCGTGACTTACTGAGTAAGTCTAAACTAAACCAACCGTTGAAGGATAAGTCAAACATAAAAATTGTTTTTGATATATTATGGCAATCCCTGCTATATATATAATGAGAACACACAAACACACACACACACACACACACACACACACACACACACACACACACACACACACACACACACATATATATATATATATATATATATATATATATATATATATAGAAGGGATGTTATCATAATAATTATGCTTTATTATGGTTCTTTGGTATATGACTAGTGTTGCTCAAAGACGAGTCTTGGTCTTGCGCAAGAGTCTCGCATCAGTCTTGCAGTTACACATTAGCTTACAACTATAGAGATATTACTGTAATTTTTCATGTAGAGGAAAAGTAACTAAGCCCAAATAAAAATTGGAAGAGTCAAAAGCAAAAGTATTTTAATTATACCAATTCCTTACATTTAGTAACTAAAATTGTCAAGTATTAGTAACTATTTTGCCTTACTTTTTATTCACAAAACGGGTTTTTTTTTTTACCATTCTTGGTTTTGGTCTTGGAAAGTGCAAGAGCAAGACCGATTTTGGACAACACTATATATGACTGTAAGTGGTCTGTATCTATTACTACTAATAACTCTACTATTACTGAACTAAAATGACTATGTTAAAGGCTAAAAAATGAAGTTTTAAACTAATTTCTGTATTTTAAATTAAATTATAATGCTGATTGTAGAACTTTGGCTAAATTTATTATTGTTTATGTTTTCTATTTCCTGGTCCTGATTTCAGTAGAAAAAACAAAGGAAAAACTCCCCACCTTTCTAGTGATGGAGCTCTCAGGTCTTGAACAGGCATACATCCATTTCTGTTGTTTTCCATGTCCTAAAAATAAGGGGTTATGCTTAGTTTACTTGTCTGAACTCTGCTTCTGTAGCCTGCCAAGAGATGGTAGTAGCGTCGCTTGAATTTCGTAATTTAAACTAAACTTAATAATTATTGTTTAGTTCTGTTGTTCCCTTAATAAATTAAAAATTATAAAAGATAATTACCGTAGGAAATTACTCTTACTATCACACGGTATTTCCAGTTCTCAGAATCAATGGATTTTGATGAATGTGGTATCAAACGAAATTCAATTTTATTAAAAATTGACTCATATCAATTCCAAAACCAAAATTCTAATTATAATATAAGTCATAGAAAAAATGGGCAGTTTCAAAATTCGCTTAGTTTCAAAAGTCGACCAATAGATACGCGATGGATTGTGTTGTTGCTATGTATAGTTTATATACTCTTAGATTAGATTTCTATGTACTTAATTAGCAAGAGAACTTAGAAATCAATACACCAAACAAATGTCTTGAGGGGATATAACAATGGATTAGTACAACTTCAGTAGTGTTGCCCAAAATCGGTCTTGGTCTTGCACCACAATCGGTCTTGCACTTTGCAAGACCAAGACCAAGACCAAGACTGTTAAAAATAAATCATCTTTTAAAATAAAAATTAAGGCAAAATAGTTACTAATACGTGAAAATTTTAGTTACTATATGTAAAGAATTGGTATAACCAATATACTTTTGCATTTAATCTTCTAATTTTTCATACTGGCTTTGTTAGGTTTTTCTCTTTCCTTACCTATACTGTAATATGTCTATAGTATTAAGTTAATAGGTACCTGTAAGTACCTGTTGTGAGACTAACTACGCAAGACCAAGATTCGCCTTGGTCTCGCATTCGGGCAACACTAAACTTTAGGGATTGTATAGGGATACTATTAAACTGGAGACATATTTTCCTGTCGGACAAGTATCACGTATTAAGTAAATAGTTACACTAACATTTATAGAAAATATGAATCTTAACCACTTTTATTAGTTGAATGGACTATTTTGATAATATTTGACCGAATTATACAAATTTTGAATATATTGCTATGTTTTGCTACGTTTTAACCCCATATATTCTTAACGTCGAGGAGGGGGAGGACCCCCTCCCGTCCCAAAAAAAAGCTGTCTGTAGGAATATTGTAAAGTCTTCAGCTGTGTCTTTCGTGCTGTTAATGCTTCTTTAAGTATCTTCTCGACTGCCTCCTGTCTTCTCAGCGATGCGATACTTCCTTTCTTGCAAGGCACTGCTTTTCTTCTTTTCTAGTAGCTCTCATGACAACATTCCTCCAAACTATCTTATCTGACATTCATAACTTTTGCAACGAAGTTCTCCAATGTTCCATCCAAATTATTTTCATTTAAACATTTCCCTACTTCTTTTTTAAGCTTTCTTAATCGTAAAAGTGTTGTCGTGGAGTGCGGCTACCACTTATTTTCCTGGAACAATTTTTTTATGACTGGAAACATATTTGAGCTATGATTCCCAGAAAATAAGGGCAGGTAGTCATATCTTATCCCATATTTACCTGTTAAAATTGTATTGGCAATTTTTAAATTTATTTGCTAGAATTATTATCTGTATTGTTGTTTCATCAAATATGTTCAACGCTATACGTCTCTGAATGAATTATAATATGTTTTTTTCAGATTCGTCCAGAAGATTCTGCAGGCCTACTATGCCATGTACAAGAACGACCGATTGGTGGTAATCAAGTGCCTCACCATGGCCGAGAAATGCATCAGGAAAGGCGAACAAAACGGCAACTTCAAGATCCTCAACTACAGCGTGGCCATCCGCCACGTCTACGCAGCCACGGTAGCCAGTGTGTTTTATAGGTGCTCAATGTTCACTAGGGCCCGCCAGGTAAGACGTTACCTTGCAGAAATAATAAAGAACTATTCAATATTCTTCTAAATATTCTACGTTAAGGTACTTCACTTTTACTCCCTACTGCACCGAATGATAGCAGTTAAGCACTAGTGGACTAGGAAGGAGCAGTTTTCGTTGGTAATGCTCGGTAGTCGAGGTAAGGCGTCATATCTACATTGCTCCTTACTGACCGCTCCTGTACCTGTTGACAGTAAGGCGGTTAAAGGCTATGTTGTCCTATCTGAGAATTGTTTCGATACGTTTCATTTATTTTTTTTCCCCAAGTCAGGAAAAATTAAATGTTTAAAATTTCTACAGAGCTATAATAAATAATTTTTATAAGATTGAAGTAATGATTCGATCACCCCTCAATTTTCATGTGATATTCTTATCACATTTTCCACGGATTCATATTACTGGGAAAAACGTATTTTTATTTGAGGTTGCTCATTTTAAGAAATCGAAGAGATTTTTTATATTATTCCTTTTTTTACGTGATAAAGTTCTATAAATGTATCAATTTTATAAAAGGTATTTCCCATCTCCTCCATGTTTAATATAAACAAATACGTTATATAATCAACTATTTTCTTTAGATATTTTCATGTACATATGATAAGTAAAACAAAAAAATAAATAAAAATCCTTACAAATATACAAATATAAATCCAAATTAATTATAAATATTCAATATTATTTTTGTTCGTATCGCAATAATTATTTTGAATTTGTACACATAATAAACACGCCATTTTTTTTTTGTTGGCCCATCGCTTCCTCTCCCAATCAAAATTGAAGGTCTACGCCTATGATTATGATAATATAATATTACATTGTATATACGAATAAAAATGTTCTCTTATACGTGGAGTGTATCAGGGAGAATCACAGCTATCTACTTTGAGTGTTATTATTCAGGTAGAATAGTGATACTATATTTTCATTAAATTAATATTAACAAATTCAAAAATTAAATATTTTTCTTGACACTCCAAAGGTCGCACCGAATCTGAGAGATCCACTAAAGTAATCTATTTGATGTATTTTTATACCACTTGAGAAAGGAGGTCTTCCTTCCATGAAGGAACACATAGTTATGTTGCTGTGTGTCCAAGTTTCGTACTAAAACTTCAGTTTGACAGCGTATGTGAAATTTTTTCACTGGAAAGGGATTCAATGGTAACTAATATAATTGCAACTAAAGTCTTTATCAGACTATAATGTATTGCAGAAATTCAAAAATCAGGCAGAAAAAAATGTGGATGATTTGTGGGACTTGAATGATACAATTGATTCCAAGTTTGAAATCGAAATATTTCGTCTCACTATGTGTGTACGAAGGTTTCAATTTTTACTCTGACCCCTAAGATTTGGCGACCGAGAAACACGTCATAAACATAAACAAATGGAACGACTGTTCCGGGTCTAGTGTTGCCCAAAATCGGTCTTGGTCTTACACTTTCCAAGACCAAGACCAAGGCTGCCTAACTGTTGCAAGACCAACACCAGGACTGGTAAAAAAATCAATTTTTTAAAAATAAATATTAAGGTAAAATAGTATTTAATACTTCTTACAATCTCAATTATTATATGTAAAGAATTGGTGTAACCATTATACTTTTGCATTTAACTCTTCTGATTTTTCATTCGGGCTTAGTTAGGTTACTCCTATCTAAAAAATTACAGTAATATCTCTACGGTAATAAGCTAAAAGTAACTGACCAAAACCATGACCAAGACTGAGTTTGCAAGACCAAGACCCGTCTCGGTCTAGCATTAGGGCAACACTATCCGGGACATATTTGAAGAGTGTGAGAAACTGCCATCTCTGCCATTCAATTGTAGCACAGGTGACTATTATGAGAAATTAAAGGGCCTTTATGAGGTCCATTTTGTAATGATGTTTGTATTAATTATTCTTGTATCGAACTATTCCTGTACCCAATTCCCTGTTGTAATAGTTTCTTGTATTCAGTATTTTTTTTTTCTATTGAATGGTATAAAATATGTAATGTTCAAGTTCCTTATTTTGTTAACTGATTTTTCGTTATGTTTTTTAATATTTTTTTAAAAATTATGTAACTGTGTTTTTTTACTTAATACATGTATTTAAAAACTCATATCGTATCGTTTTCTTTTAGTAAAATTAGAACTTTGTCATTATTTTTTTTTATCAATAAACTGATTTAGCGAAGTGGATCTCGCAGATCCGCAGCGACCTTCCTTGCGACTCTAAGTCTAGCGACCTTCGGAGTGTTAAACTGGAATCTATAATTAATGCAAGAGAGAGATGCTACAATTTGTAAGTAGCATCAAGAAAGCTTATAGTACCATCAGAGTTGGGGCGACAGCGGCAAACTTGTGAATTATACATGACCCTTATATGAAATTCAAAGTATGCTCATTTGGATCTGGTGCGGCGCCATCGTGTTAGAGACAGTGGATCTGACGAGTATGAAGGTATTCCGTCCGACCCTTTAGGTCCGATCATGGCAAACAGAAAAAATAACATTTCCCGATTTCGTCATGTATATACAGACCCAAAAAAACATTTAATGAAACCGTATTTTTTCTTTTATATGTTAAAAAAATCATATAAACGCTTTAAACATGTAATTTGAAAAAAAAAATATAATAAAATAAATAAATAATTCAGTCCTGATTTAGACTAATCTAGAAGCTTGAGTGAAAATTAAGAACCATGCAAAGATACAATTCGTATGTAATATGCTTGTGGAATTTTAGGAAAAATAAATAAAATGTTTTTATTTGATATCGATAACTTGGCAAGATCTAAATATTTTACTCACAGATCTCGAAATTGAATTTGAAGTATAATGTTGAGTGAACCGTATGAATTGGGTATTTTAATATTCACTGAAATCAAACATGTGTGTAAAGCATAAAAATATATATTGTAATTATTGAATACAAATATATAAATTTGCTTAATTTGCAAATAAATATAAATGAAAATAAAGAAAAAAGGGTTTCTTTCTTCAAGGTTGGCTAACTACATTTTTTTGTGATAATATTGTTATTTGAGGCAGAAATTTGATCTAATTATTCTAAATAATTTCATAAAAAAGTAAAAATAAAATAAGTAATTTTAAACATATTTTTCTTTCTTCAAAAAACAATATATTGCAAAATTCAACAAACTAATAAATCATACACAAGTAAAATTTAATTTAATAAGTCACTTACAATAAGAAGAACATACTGAAGATCAAGCATACCTAGAACAAAAGAAATAAAACAAACATTAGTTATCTCTGATTTTTTATCATTATTGAATAATTCGTTTAAATTAACATTATACCACGTCCACATGGATATGAGAAACTGTTATATAGATAGAATGTAGGTGATTTTTAATAAAAAATAATAAAATTGAATTAGTAACACGGCTGTGAATAAAATTTTAGTATTTCCATAATAAGGTTCTACTTAGTTTAATAACAAATAGTAAAAATTATTTAATCAAGAAAATTAAAAAAAAGGGAAATTATCTAAATGAAAGTGGAAATGTTTAAATAATCATAATCTGGTATTGAAAGTTTCAGTATTACACAAAAATATGTCACTAAATCAAATTAGCTCAAATTTTATTTTTATATTCAAGTAAGTTATGTAAATATATATATTGATTTATAAAAATAATTAATATGCAAATATAGTAAGGCTGTAATGTTTTTTTCGTTTTTAAATGACTTCTCTCCTTTAAAATAGCGTAAGGCCTGAAATTGTGAGTATAAAGTAAAAAAAAATTAGGGTTGATGATCGAATGTTGTTTTTATGTTATAAATGGAAAACAAACTCCAAACCATAAAGCTATGAGTCTCTTACATGCACATGAAAAGTTAAACATCCAACATGAGCTATTGATATCTATGTAAGACATCCAAATTCATACTGAAGAGAACAGAAGGTTCCACAAATCCAGTAGAGGAAGGTTATATAAAACAGCTGATTGGGTGAAATAAATTGAAAAAAATATATACGTATAAATACCATATAATAATACAAAAATGTCTTAATTATATTAAATTAAAAAAAAAAAAGGAAAGAAAAACTCGAAGGTATATATAATATCCATACCTAACAAAACTCTGTGGATGCACAGTTTCTTCCCAAATAATATTAATAAAATAATCTTATAGGTCAAAAAGAGATGTATATGGAGTGATTACGTTACAAATAAAAATAATTAAACTATTAAGTCATGTCATTATTTGCGACAGTATACTTTCTTATTTTTTTTAATTTAATATAAATAACACATGTTTTTATTATTATATTTTATATTTGCAAATTTTTGTTTTGTATTTATTCCTGCTAATTAGCTGTTTCATATAACCTTCCTCCGATGTGTTTGTGGAACCTTGTGTTCCACCCAGAATGAATTGAGATGGTTTGAAATGATAGCATAAGGTTTTTTTTTCCTACATGTGATCTAGTTTTTATTCTGTCCTGGTGATGCCTGAATTGGTGACATTGTTCACCGGTATATTGAAGATACGTGACTTTATTGTTTGCATTATTCCATTTATATTGTATTACTATATGCTTATTTTAGTATGGGTTTTTATTAAAGATCATGTATTTAATTCTTTGATACTGAGAAAAAAATTAGAATATATCCTAAAGGCATAGCAATGGTAAGAAAGGATACAATAATGGAGCGGAAAAAAGGGTCAAAGAGATGGGGCCCAGCAGACAACCCTCATTAGCTCTTTGAATCGGCAACCCTTTCTCTCTATCTCTATCTCTCTCGAATAAACTTTACTTCATCAATCGGTTCAAATATTGAGCTGTAGTCGGCAAAATACGGTCTACAATCCTTTAATCATCAATTTAATCCGTTGTTGCTATGTCAGTAGATGCTGATTACCTAACAGTCAATTCGTTTGGCTATTTTAATTTTTAAATGGCATGCATGTAGAAAATTCACATTATAATATAACAGAAAAATAACTTTATTCTGTAAAAAAGCGCTTCAGGAATAACAGCAGTTAACAAAACAAATATTTTATAAATATCTTCAGCTCAGATAATAATATTGCTATTATCTACCACTCTTCACATTATCTGAACGATATTGCTGATTGGGCATATCAAAATGTAAAATTAAAACAATACTAGTCACTCTAAATCATAAACATTCTTCCGAAATATATTTAATAACATTGAAATCCCAGCATCAGATGTAACTAAATATTTGGGTTTTTACCTAGACACAAGACTTACTTGGAAGACTCACATTTGACAAAAACGAACAGAATTAAACAAACGATACGTTCTTATATCCAGGTTACTTGACAGACGTTCAAAATTATCTTTAACTAACAAACTAACCATTTATAAAGTTTTACTTGAACCAAATTATACTTACGGCTTAGAACTGTGGGTTCTGCTGAGACCTCAAACATTAAAAAAATCAGTTCTTCCAGTCAAAATTGTTGCAAAGGACAATTGACGTTGATAGTTTTATCTTGCAAATGATATATAAAATAAAGACTTAAACGCTCCAACAAGACATTGTAAAAGAAAACTACGATTACTTTCAACAAAGATTGACGTACAACATCAGTCCTCTTACAGAAATCCTTAAACATTCAAGAAACCTCTACAGCCTACCACGACGATTTGCGTTGGCTATGAGACTTGCTTATTTGATTTATATCCTGGATGTGATGAGATTTTTTTGCTCACTGCAAAGAAATTCGCAGAATGCAAATTTAATTTAATGTTTAACTTGTATGGTCAGTTTATAAATAACTAATAATATGAATCACCAAAGGTAAAATAGTTCAATATCTTTTTCTCAACCAGTTTTCTTTATTCTTTTTATTTTGTTTAAATTTAGAAACAGTATATATAAATAAAAATCTAAATTTTTTCTTTCTTGATAATTCCTAAATTGTCGAAATGGTTAGATTTTTTCCAATTGTAACCTGACTACGAGATTATATTCGTTTATATTAACTAAGTAATTAGTTTTATATTTTACACACTATTAATTATATAATTAATATTAATAAAATTTATTATGTATAAAAACCTCCTGGGAGGCCATACACATGTGTCGACTGGCAAATAAAGAGATCAAAACTTAATACAGTTACAAATTTATGATAAAAATATATTTATACTAGTGATCAAAATAAATAAATAATTATTTACTAGTTATAAAGTTTATTAAATTACATAATCTTTTTAAATGGTAAATGAAATTTTTAGGCACAATATGACATGACACTGAGAACAAACCTCAAGGATTTTGGTATGAGTTTTTAGTCAGTAACGTAAGTCCAAGATAAAGTTTCGACCAGAAATTTGCTTAATCATAGTATCACCATTTCAATTTAGAAATAATTCATTTCTATTATTATTATAAATAGTTAACGATGATATATATTTATTTTAGAAAATGATATATGATCGGGGTGTATGTATATACTTTATATATTTGATGTTTCTTATTTTTTTTTTCTGTTTAAATATAATAATCTGAGAATATAGTTTTTTTTTTTTAAATAAACAAAAAAGTTTTTGATAGATGGTTTGTCTGAATATGACTTTTTATATTTTGTATTTTCTAAGCTGCTGGCCAATGACCCAGGACAAACAAATGACAATGAATGGTTCCACCGTCTCCTTTGGGAGTAATTTTTCTTGATTCTGCCCCGCTGTACCATTAATAATAAATGCAAATATATATTAAAAGTCTTGATTCAAGTGAGGAAAGATAAGTCAAGGTGATTTATAACTTGTTTTTCAAAGATGGAGAGCGGGCAGGAAAAATCAGAATATTCTGAAAGGATATGCAAAACTATTGTTTAGATGAAAAATTATCTACACAAAGAAGTAAGGATCTAGTGTGTAAAATAAAATAAAACCAAAACAAAAAAAAAAAGAAATTATTTGTGTATAATAAATATTTAATTTTAAATTTGAATAAAACTAAATTAAGGTTGGAAAAATAAAATAAAATCATAATCTTAATTCAACAACTAATGACAAAGTTAAACAAAATAGTGAACTGATTATTTATTTGATATTTAAAAAAAAATCTTTCTTTCACGTATATAACCTTCATATTTTTATTGACGTATGCCGTATATCAACACAATCATAAATGATTACTAGGTTAAGATAAGAAAAAATAATAAATAATAGGTAAAGAAAAAAAAAAGTTATTTGTTAAAAAACCAAAATATTTACATAATTATGTTTTTTTTTTATTTTAGATGATTTAAAAATATATGTTGTATATGTGTAATCAAACATATATATATATATATATATATATATATATATATATATATATATATATATATATATATATATATATATATATATATATATATATATATATATATATATATATAAATAAATATTTAATCTTCTAATTATTCGATTAAAGGTTTTTTTTATCAGAGATCCTATTGCTTATAAATTGTGTAGTTATGTATATATAAATATATAATTTCTTTTCTTTTTTTTTCATCACAATAATAAGTAATTTTGAGAAGATTTCATGTTAATTTTTTTTTAGTGGTTACGTACGGTTTTTTAAATAATGGATATAATGTTACAATTTTTATAAGTTAGTTTTTGGCCAGATTTGTATTTTCTTTTGTATTCATTCATCATTGTTATTTTAAGGGGACTTAGTCCCAAAATAAAGTTCAATTTTCTATATATATATATATATATATATACAACCCGGATCTGAGGATCGCCTAACATCCTGGTCTAACCAGCAAATACCCTATAATATATCCAATTTTTCTTTTTTTTTCTTTGCTACAAAGAGACATTTTTTTTTTCAGTTTCTGGATCCGATTACCCCACTCCGTTCCATGACAAAACAATCGCTCGCCTGTATCTACTTCATGAAGGGTTTGACGCTGTTTTATACAGGGAAAGATGGTGAGATAATTACATATAAATGTAATATCAATTGGAATGCTGTAATATATTGTAAATTACAGCAATCAAAATTACAATTTGTAATATACCCTTATGTTTCTGTAATAAACTACTAAATTATCGCTATTGATAGAGGCGAAAGGTGTGGTGTTAGTTAATTTTTCTGAAGATACGTTATCCAAGGTTTGTTTCTATGTTGCTCGAAGTACCCAAAGGATTGTAGAGCTATTCTTCTCCAATCAATTTTTCGATTGGATTTTAGATGGTCAAAGCCAATCATATAGTGCAATGCTTTAATTAATATTAAAACTTAAACAAGTGAAATACATCCATTGGCAACCACAGCACTTAATTGTCAAGAATTTCGATTTATCTTAAAAACTGTACATTGTAGGGCTTTAAAACACAGAATCTGGTAGTTCCTTTGGGATTAAATATACTAGATCGTGATGTCTGCATCAAAATCTTTAAATTTATCGTGCTTCGATTCGCCGACTTTTTTTTATGATATTATTATTTATTTATATTGAAATTTGAACCTTGCGCAGCAGCGCATCTAGCAAATTTGTTGTACCCGCAGCGCCTTACATTTATTTACATTAAGCATCATTCTCTTCTTTTCAAGCTCTGCAAGAAAATAACTTATACGTAAACTGCTAATTTAAGAGCATCTGTAAAGTGTGAAGTTTCTCCCATTGTGTTTCAGTTAAATATATTATCTTGATAGTGTTATATTGTATGTTACGTTGTATATATAAGAATAAACACGTTTTGCTGAAGTCACTTATATATGTAATCCATTATGGAGTTGGTGTATAGTGTATAGTGTATATTAAGATGTTTGTTGACATTGCTTAGGCTACGAGGAGGCACTACGCTGCGTGGTCAACGGCCTGAGGGTAGACCACGAGGATCCTGAGCTGAGGTTCCTCTGCCTCATGCTCATCTACTACCTCTGGAACAAGGAGATCAGCCCCAACCTCCTCGACGCCGCCGCCTATCATCTCAAGCACCACTTCCAAGCGGTCATCAATCTCCGTCCGGCGACCTTCGAGAACTTTTACAAGTAAGATAGTCTGTATTTATTGAACGTAATAATGTAAATGACCAAGTGAGTGAGTTCCAGGGACTCGAAAAAGTCTGGAACAATATCTCAAATTTAGAAAGAGGTGCTGGATGAATAGACCAAGGCGCCTAATAAAGTGGACCACAACTCCTTTCATTCCAGTCAAATATCAGCTGAAGTTGTTAAAAAAGCAAATAACCATATAATACTAGTTCATATACTAGTTCAAACTAGTCCACGTCGCCAATGATGAAACGAACGTCGACTTGGTGTAGTGGTCGGGTGACTACCTCCGCTAGTTTTTAACTTACCAGTTTTAGAAATTTAAAATGATATTGATTTCCTAGATCGTAAGTAATTAATAGATTTATATTTTCTTCATACATCAATTATTTAATTTTTTCCAACTCCAAATGTGGTGCGATTAATATGGACTTCAGAAAAAAAAATACGAAAATGCACAAATTATTTTCGAAAATTTAAGTTTTTTTTTCTAAAGATAAATTCATCAACCTTATAGCCGTGAAGGTTCGAGGTCCACCTCTCGCTTTCAGGGATAACATTCATTTGACATGATTCAACTAAAACAACCTTAAATAAAATCATCAAAAACAATGCGAATTAAACCTTACTTACTGCTGGGCGCTACGGTGCTACAAGAATATGGGCCTCCTCAAGGACTCCAAGTCAGTCATTCCTGTCTCTCGCTCGCTTCCTCCATCTTCTTACTCTGAGCAACTTGAGGTTCTCTTCAACGTCATCCAATCATCGCCTTCCTCTGTACCGCTTCCCTCCATTTTTCCATATAGCAGGCGTCTTTGAATTCTATTCTCTGGCATCCTTTCCACGTGTCCGACCCATCTCAGGCGGGCTTTTTTCACAAACGATACCAGGTCTGGTTTGCCATACTTTGCACGGAACTCGTAATTGTTTTTTCACTGCCACGTGCCATTTTCTCTTATTGGCCCATATATCCTCCGGAGTATTTTTCTTTCTCAGACATTGATTTTCCTTTCATTTTCACGGGTCAAAACCCATGATTCACTTCCATATGTAACTATGGGTCTCAGTATGGTTTCAAAACTCTTGAGTTTTGCTTTTTCGGAAAGAGCTTTAAACTTTAATGTTGTTTTATGGCAGAAAGGCACTTGTTACCTTCAGCCAGCCTGACATTCACTTCTTCTTTCGTGCTGTTGTCATGTGCAATGACTGCATCCAAGTACTTAAACGTGCTTGCACTTTTAAACTGTGATCGCCAATCTGCAGATCATGGTATTCCAGTTGTTAATACCTGGAAGCTTTAAAATATTTTGTTTTTCCTTCATTTAAATTATGGCCCACTTCTGCTGCTTGCCTTTCAAACTCCTCTAAACCTCCTCTTGCAGTGTTTCTTACCATTATGAGCACATCATCCGCATATGCCAAGTGCTGTGCGAACCGATCATAAATTGTTCCATTAGGGTTGGTTCGTATTGTCCTAATAGCTTTTTCCTAATAGCTTAAATTAAAAAGGACAGGTGATAGTGGGCCTCTCTGCCTCAGGCCACTATTTATTGCAAATTCTTCTGATAGCATTCTCTGTATTTTTATTTTCATCCTGCTATCATGCATTGCCATTTTTTTTCGAATCGAACCGATAAAACTAAAATTGACTTTTTTTTCACTTTATGAAAATTACACATGTCCTTCTTTGATACAGAACCACTCAGCTCTATATGCTTTATAATTTTAAAAGTATTTCGCTCATTGAAACTAATAGAGCTCATTGAAAAAATATATGTATATTTTTTCTATTTTAGGGGTCAGAATTCAGTCCGGGTGCCCATCTTCCTCTCCCCCTGAAAATCACATTGTGTTGAACCATTACTATTTTATTTAACTGTATATTTTATATTGTTTTTAGTACCACGTCTCGCCTTAGAAAGGTGCAACCTGCATTACAAAAAATGGAACGTTGTTTGAATCGTGTATCCACCGAAACAACGACCAAGGAGGTTAACTCGATTGAATTGGAAATGGTTGAGTGCCTAGAAGTAGAACCTCACTACTCAGACCTCATCGGATTTGTGGCACATTTCTTTATATCCACCAACCAGGTATCACAAGATCTGATTTTTAACGTACATTTCTCTTTAATAAATAATCTAGATATATATTAAAATTTTTTGTTTGTATATTTGTATTGCTTACCATATTCAATATACAATGTACAATGTGCATGATCATCACAGCTGAGTGATCTAATAATAAGCATGTTAAATGAATTATTGATGATAATTCTAAATACTTTTAATAAAATATTTTTTCTGTATTAGAACTTAGCTAAGGATCTAAAATTGACCGTTCAGACGATTTTATTAAACCCCGGCTGATGAGAAAAACATTTTTATACCGAGCAATAAAGTTTTCATTACAGTGGAAGAAATGGGTTAACTGCAAAGCTTGTTCCGTCTCTGGATTCAGTCGTTAAAAGGCTCGCTTACTCTTTAGAGATAATTCCCTTCCATTCTCCATGCTGTTTTCTTTGTTGAGAGTTTCTAACTGCTAACTGCTTTTATATTGAAATATTTTGTAATAAAAAGAACCAGTTTCTGTAATAATGGATTTCGTAAACTTATTCAGAATAGAATATAGATTATTATTGACACCCAATATACAAAACAAGTTACAAATGGCAACAATTAGCAAATAACATTATGTTAATATTACCTAAAGTATGTTTAATTAATGTAAGTTGTACAAGAATATACACTTCAGGACCCACATGGGCAAATACTACTCTGAGTACTGAGCACCAAGTATTTTACTCAAATACTGTCCTTTTTTGAGTACCAAATAATTTAATCACAACTTCAATTGATACCAAAAAATTAACTGAAATAGTGATTTAATTCTCAACTGGGATTAAATTTGAGTGAAATACTTGATACTCGGTACTCAAAGTAGTATTTGCCCATCTCTGCTTCAGGAAATATAAAATGAAATTTCAATGGTATTATATTCCATTTCGGTTTTAAAATGTTATTAATTTCATCATTAAACGGGCACAATTGTAACACCAGTTTTTTGCCTCATATTTTTCGGATCATTACTGCACGAAGATCCGGTCTCTAGTGATAACTATTCTTTTATCATTCACCTGCACTATAAATAAATAGTCACTTTCTATTTATACAATTCCTAAGCAATCGTAAAAATCTTTTTCTGTAAAAATGTAAAATATGTATTCATATTATTGGTTTATATGTTTGTTTTTAAGTATTTTTTTTTAATATCTATCTTTTTTTTTTCTATTTTCGCTTCAGCCAGAAAAAGCCTACTTCTTGCAGGGGATCGCCAAACTGGTTCACTTCGACAACGCCTACAGGTGGCTAGACTACCGGATGCTTCTCTTCCCCGAGCGTTGCGAGAGCGAAGTCTTCCGCAACCTCCTCCAGTACCACCACGGCCAGGACGCTGTCAAGATCTACAAGAGGATCGCTTTCCACTATGTCTTGTACGACCCTGACAAGGCTTTCTTCTATGCCAACAAGGCATTGGCCATCGAGAACGATCAGTGGATGATGAAGAATTCAACCAGTGGCAACTACGATGTCCCCATATACGTGAGTATATAGAAATTGTTCACCATATCCCCTTGTATGTACAAATTTACAGCCTTGTGTGATATATTTAAAAATAATAAATCCTTAGATGATATCCAGTAGAGAACATAAGAAATGGCGTGTTTGAAACTGATTATCAATTTTTCTTCGTCTGTGATAATTTTTTAAAATTTTATTTATTTATTTATATGATATTTACAACTGTATACAAAAAATAAATCTGGTAAATTCGCACATAGATATAATGACATGGAACACATGTTGAGTGCTACTACCCACACACACACATGCTACTACCCATTAGTAGCACTCTAATAATATGTCTATATTAGAATATCTCGTGGCCATCTTCTTTTCAGACGCCTCGGAGAGTTATCAGGAATCGAATAGGAAGCAAGGTTAGAGACAAGAGGGTTGGGATGGTTATGAAGTTTATTATGGAAGGACAGATATCTGGATTGGGCCAAATCTGATACATAAGAAACATTAAGGTCATTCATTATGGATAATATTATTTGTAACAAAGTAAGGAGCATTGAGGATTTTACGAAGGATTTTGGATTATAAGGATTGGATGCGAGAGGAATTTGAAGGTTTGTTGGAGCCCCATAGCTCAATCTGTGATTATTAGATTGGTAGAATAAGAACGAAAAAATTCAAAAGTCTTCGAAAGCATGTTTGCAAAGATAATAAGCGTTAAACACAAGTAGTTGAAAACAAAAATTATATTTCATATTATTAATCCCGCATTGTTGATGTTTTCACTTCTATCGTCGGATTTATAGCACACACCGTAGTTCTTTCTTTTCTCTCTCTTAACGCCATCTCTAAGTAGATATAGGTAGCTTTAAAAGTGTTTTCCTAGCTTTTACAAATGGATTTTTGTAAGATGGGTCAAGGGCTCAGAAATGTTCGGCAGCGGTATCCGTCACGGTGGACTTAGATCATGCCCTCAGCCCCCATCATATGTTATTATAAGTTTGTAGCCAAATATCAACCTGTTTTTAAATATTGAAAAGTGCAATCTTAATATTATATTCGTTATCACTCTAATTGTATTGCAGCTAAAATTTAAATGATTTTTTTTCTATTCAAATACCCAACTATCGTAATGCTATGTTCCTGGCCTCGCGTTCTACGGCGAGTAAGGGGTTCCAGGAACCGCATTTATTTGTAATTAATACTTATAAAATATATTAATTATGTATTTAAAGGTAAGATACCACAGACCCCCTACTATAGTATCCTAGATTGAACCATATAATTTTTATTGGATTTCTTTTCTAAAGGTATCATGTTTTTAAATTTACCATTTGTTTCTATTACTAATTGGTGGCATGCAGGGAAGATGGTAAAAGTACTAAGATGGTTTACTAACTATTATATTTACAAGCTTAAATAAAACCAAAAACATCTATATACAAAATAATAATTAAACCTATATACATAATGAATAGTTGAGAATCATACTGGAAGAGAATGCTTGATGTTTGATTAAAGTTATATGTGTTATATTGATTATATTAATTAATAGTTTATGGTTGCCAACACAAGTTTACATTAGTATAACTATGCTTGTTACCACTTAGCTGGTCCTTCATAGTGAGGGGGGGTTGCAGGTGTTTCTAGCCGTCATATCTGGATTCCCTGTCTCTGCTCTCCTTCAGCGTCTAGTCCGTCCATCTGCTCTCTCCGGCTGTCTTCGTCTTCCTCCCTCGACTCAAGTCTCCTTAGCTGAGTCCCAAAGAGAAGTACCCTCCTCTGAGACCCAAAAGGAAGTCCTAGTCCTCTATTTCCCACCTTTCTTCATCCCCCTCTCTTTTGTAGTCTTTTTCCTGATTGGCTGAATATTCCTAGCCTAAGGGATGACCACGCTCTCTCTCCCCTAGGCCAAGGTAAAGCAGCAGGTACAGATTTAGGTATTTCTGGTGGAAGGTGTGAAAAGGTCTTTCGGGATCCTGTTTAAACACTCAGTTGTCGGTCTTGGTCGGTGGTTCTTAAAGGTTTTTATTACCACTTACTAAAGGTTGGGCTTGTGGGTCGTTACCCTCGCTCAGGTAGCGCCAGATGTGGCCACTTATGATATTTATTTATTTATACCTTTAAAATAATTAAATGAATACCACCGGCGGTCTTTACAATACATAGCAGTAACTTAACCTATTTGGCCATATATACATTTTATTTTTAAAGGAAAACAATGGATTCGTATATGCTATTGCAGGTAACAATCTATTCATCAATGAGTAACATCGATGAAATTGTTTATCACAAGTTTCACCGTATATCGAACGCGTTGCATACCTTAGCAATAACTATCCTTTTATCATCCATCTGCACTAAATATAAATAGTCACTTTCTATCCATCCATTTCCTAAATAATCGTTAAACACTTTTTCTGTAAATATGTATTTAAATTATTAGTTTATATGTTTATTAAGTGTTTTTTTTAATTCATAAAGTTAAAAGTTAATTTTTTTTTTTTAATTGTGTTAACACTTTATTTTTAAATTCACAGTTGTTGGGAATACCAACAACCAGCGAGTGTACTGTCGGAAAGAAGAGTATAGATTTAGACATTGGCTATGTTTATATTTAGTTGAGGAAATTCCTTATCCAACTACTTTTGAGCCAGCTTCGGGTGCCTTCGGGCATGTTTGTTGTGGCCATACCTTTGATCAATGAGTTGGTATGTTCGGGTAAGTTATTGTGAAATCTTTTTTAGTATGTTCATTAACTGTTGGCATCTGTAGGTCCTTATGCAAAGCAATGTTACTGACGGAGCCTTAGTGATAGTTCTGAAAGTTTTTGATTGAAACGTTTGTAGTTTTCGTATGTGAGTCTTTTTGTTTGTGAATCGTAGGTTCAAATGGGCTTAAGTAAGTAATTGTATGTATTCAATTTTTTTATAAGTTTTAATTGTGAAAGTCTTGAAAGGAATGAATACAGCAGTCATGGTCTAAGGTTTAATGTTTTTGTTTTGTTCTTGATATGAGGAATTTAATCTGCCTGAGGAATTCGGACATTGTCAAGGTAAATAATATTGCAAGTTTCACGTCGATGGGCAACAGTAATATGTGGTGATTTGTCTTGGTTGTGTCTAATTTTTCAGAGTTTGCACCAGTCATGAAATTAAATTAGGTGATATTCTAAAGCTAATTAATTTTTTTTAAATATTTTTATTTATTTATTTTATTATTATTTTCATAAAACAATGATGTTCTAAAGCTCATGATTGTATTATTCTAAAGGAATTTGTCCAAGATTAAATAAAATGAAATGTTATTATTATATATTTTTTTATTTTTCAGGACGAAAAGGTACTCGTCTTTGAAACCATGAGTGGTATAGGTTTCTACAGGTTCATGATATACTACGCCCATGTCTTGTCGAGAGGAGAATCTGCACGCCAGTTCCTCTGGCAGATCCAAGAGGTCCTTCCAACCTACCTCGAGGCCACGCACTTCAGCCAGGAGTGCCAGAAGATGATGGATATTCTCCTCAAGAACGAGTTTTACCGTGACCCTCTAAAGGTTCCATTCAGAGGCAGTTACCAAACTGTCGTCATTCACTGCTATGATGACTAAGAGGGGATTATTACCTGCTATTAAGAATTTTAAAAATGGAATTTCAATTTTCTTTCGGTCTATAAAAATAATATAAATTAATATTTTTTTTTAAGTACAATATATTTTCTTTTTAATAAGTAATTAAGTTTTGCCTAAAAAAGAATTACCTGAAAAAAAACATATATACAATTTTAGAAAATTAGTATTATTGTTATTAGCTTTCGTAATTTATTTAAAAAAATATTTAGAATATGTAAAAAAGATTGTTCTGTTTTTAGAAAGAAAATATAACCACTAATACAAAACCTTGACGAAATTTTTTTTTTTGGTCTAAATAAAAGGATATTGACAAATAATTTCACAAAAAAATAATTAATATTAAATGAGAATATAATTTAAAAATATTGAAATAAATCATATTAAAAACCACATTAAAAAAAAAAAATATTTTCATATTCAATACAAAAGCTTATTTATATTCTTATAAGTTAGTTTTTGGCCAGATTTGAACTTTACTTTGTATTAACTCATCATTGTTATTCTAAAGGGACTTAGTCCCAGAATAAAGTTTAATTTTCTATTCTATTCTATTCTATTCTATATCATCCATAGTATATTATTATTATTATTATATAATATCAAATTTATTAAACCAATTTTTAAGAAATTGCTACCGTTAAATATGAATTGTTTATAATAAATCCGATTGATAAGTATAGTCGAAATTCAATGACTTTACTGGTAGTCAAACACCAGATTATTTTTATCAATAACTATTAATACACAATTGATATTAAAATTAATTTCAGATATATTAAGATGAAAATAATAACTACTATAAAAACATTCTTAGACTTGATGCATTTAACAAATCGAAAATACCTAACAAACTGGATCATTAGATTTATTTATCAGCCCAAAACTTCTTAAATCAAGTTAGTTTTGCTTAAATATCTTTAGCAATTAGTAATGCATTGAAACTTCTCTAGTTAGGTTTTAATTTTTTTTAAAATTTCCAATTGTGTACCTGATATATTTTCATAATATATGTTAAATATAAGACTGAATTTAATAAAATAATTTTATATTTTTCTAATTACTATATATATATATATATATATATATATATATAAACTTCACTATTTTATGGATAAGTCATTAATTAAGTGACCTATTCCATAAATAGTGAAGTTGAATTAATACTCAAAGTCGATGAAAGAAAGTTGTAATATATATATATATATATAAATAATATAAATAATTTATTTACTCTTGTTATTTTCTTTTATTCTTATTTTTATTTTATTTTATTGTAGCACTAAAATTGGTTTCATATAAAACTTATTTAGCATTTCTTTCCAGTTTTGTTTAGTTATAAGTATGTTGTTGTTTTTTGTGCTAGTGTTATAATATTGTAACCGTTGTACCCATCTGCTTTCCTTAATATACCCTCCAAATCTATGTATATATTCATTTTATTACTTAGATTGTATTTACTCTTTATTATAATAGGTCATCTGACCAGATTTATTGTCAATTGGTTTAAAAAATATTGTTACTCTCAAGGAACCTAGTTCCAGAATAAAGATGATTTCCTATTTCTATTTACATTTCGCAGGATTGAATGAGCTTTTTAAATACTTAAATACTTTAAATACTTTTTAAATATTAATAAATAAGTATATTTTTTTTTTTTTTTTTTTTTTGTCTATTAAATATGTATTTGCGCCTGTCAACAATAAGTTAACAATCAGCAAATGTGATGGCGGTAATGATAAAATGACTTGACAGGCATGGGGAAAATTATATTTTATTAAAATAACTATATATTTGTGATTGTTGTTGATACACTGTTGAATAATTTTGATTATCCTGATTATTATTAAAGAGATCTGTTCTGTATAAAATATTGTATAAAATGAAAAAAAATATAAAATTTAATAAATAAATAAATGAAAAAAATGTTTTCATCTATATTTCATTTATGAGAAATGCATTTAATATGAACATTATATGAAACTTTATATGTGTTTTTTAAAAAATATTCCATAAATTAACATAAAAATATAAGGGAGAAATATTTTAATGCCGATTTTGTGGGCAAAATCCTAACAAAATTTACAAAAAACACGTTTTTTCTAATAAGGAAAAAAAATTTATAAAGCTGAACTAATGTCATGCTGAATACTTATTTGTAAGTTGGAGATTTTTTACAATTGGTCTAATACGGATTATGGATGTTCACAACACCTAGAGTTTTAAATAAAAAATGTCGACTTTTCTTTGTTATGATCAGCTATTTTCATCTTCATTTCTCATGCCTACTGAACTATTTTCGATAAATATAAATGATGTTTTTATGTTTGATTCAAAGTCTTAACTGGTAGTAAAAATATTCTTCATCCAAGATATATGCAGTCAAATTCGGACCATTGTATGGTAATAACTAGATTAAACAAAAAAAAAAAATGAACTTAATCAACCATCATAGTTTTAACAAACGAGCTTAAAATTTTAAACTTATATTTTTTTACGGATATGTGTTTTTTTCCACGTTTTCTTTAGGTTTAGGTTCTTCTGGATTTTTATTGTGCGAAGTAAATGAAAATCTATAAAATAAATAATTTATTAAAATTAAAGATATATTCAATTGTATATGTTGTCTAGATTTACACTTTTTAAGTATGTGTTTTATTTAAAAAATATAAATGATTGAGAAGGTGAGTATCGTATATCTCAGACAAAAATAAAATAAGACCCGGAGTATTAATTATTTGTTAATAGTTGTAAGAAAGATTATATTCTATGAAAAAATATTGTATAGTTTCAGTTTAACACTAGTAACATAAATCCATCTGCTGGATTTCGCCACGTAAACTAGTGCAATGATCATTGAAAGTGGACATCAAAGACCTGACATAAATGGCCATTGTCACTTGACACATCACAAGTACACACAGACATCCAACACGAGCTTTGAAATCAGTGGTCCGTTGTAAATGGTCAGATAGAACTGTCTCATTTATCCTTAATACAAAATGCAATACATTTCAACTAGGACAATGCTCTTAGAATGGAATATGTATCGGTACATTCCAATACAATTGAATCAATGATCAATTACATTATCAATTACTCGAGCTAAAAGTCAATCAAAATGGACTCTAATTTGTAGTGAGAAATAAATTACACGGATATGCGTTCATCCTTATACTATACTGTTGGCTTACTTATACATAAATATACTTAAAAAAATAGCATCCAAAAAACTGATATCTATTTTTTTTTATTAAGTATGCTATTACGGTTATATTTACCGTTGCTTAGGTTGGTTTAGTTAAATATATCATAAATAGGTGAATAAACAATTTAATAAGAGTTATATAATCAGAAAGCACACACAATAAAAAAAATAACAACAACGAATGAATGTCTAAGAATAGATTTGGTCCCAGGTATGCCCATTCCCCCAAAGCCAATGGCGCATAAGCCTTCTCCCACCCCTGTCAAGATATTTTATTCCTCTCTTCTTCTTAAAAACGTTGCAAAAGTAAAATTTGAATAATTGTTGCGTACCAATATATCAAAGCTAACATGATAGTTAGCCGGAACATCCACCCTAATTACATGATCTGCGTGGACGCTAAGTCATTCCCGAAAGTAGACCCTTATCCCGAGATTCAAAGACCTCGGCTCCACAATAACCTCAATAAATGGTCAACTAACAATGATAGACCAGCGAATAACAAGTGCGAACAGATCTTTCTTCTCTCTTTCGAAGGCACTGAAATCCAGAAAAATCTCCAGAAATCTCAAAATAAGGGTGTACAACGCCTAAGTGATTAAGCCAGTTCTGTACGGTTGTGAAACCTGGGCTCTATCCGGCACACTAGAAGCCTAAATTGAGAGATTCGAAAGGAAAGTTATACGTTGGATAACAGAACCTATATGGGACCAGAACCTTAACACATGGAGAAGAAGGAACAATAAAGAACTGCTGAAAGAAACGGGTCAGTCAATATTTCATGACATGAACACAAGGTGGTTAAGATCAGCAGGGTATGTAGCTCGGAGCGATCCATCAGGACGTCTTTACACGACAATGAATGCCAGAGTAGTAGGGAAGAGGCCACGTGGGAGGCCAAAAACCAGATGGATAAATAGGATAACCAAAGATACGGCTGAGCTTCATGCCGCAACCTGGAAAGCAGTAGCCCAAGATAGTCAGAGGTAGAGAAGGATGGTTTAGGCGGCCAAAGATCTACAAGGTCTGTAGAGCCAACCGAGAAAAAAAAAACCAATCAAAAGACATCTGAAATCATTTAACAGACCACAGTATGTGTACACTGTGGTTTGTTACATTTACAAATTCCAGTTTGATCTTTAAAAGTTCATTTTGAAAATTCATAACTCCGTCGAAGGTTACCCCTCAAAAATTGAAAACTCCGTCCAAAAGTGGTTCCTCGTTAAATTTAACTTGCGCTATAAAACCCCTTTCTGAGCATCCCTCATTGGTCCATTTGAAGAAGCAATTCTTTTAACGTGGGGTGCAATTGTGATACCTTTTCCGGATTAAGAAGCTACCAATTATATCCCAGTTTTCGTACTTTTAGAATAATTATTTTTCTAATAGGCAATCAATGCACATAAACAATATTAATTCATTTGCATCCTCCGCATTATCCATGAGATATAAGAACTATGGAAGGGGAAAAAAATAGTGTATGTATGAGCTACGATAAAACTTGCTATTCTGTAGAGAGAGAGCGCAACCTTTGATAAGAGGCCTAACTTTATTGAGGCAGTTATTAGAGTGATAACTCACAAGATGGCCCTAAGCCTCGGAATGGGCGCACTAAAACTATCTCTCCACTAATTAATGGATCGACTTATGTTGCCTTTTAGCCATGATATCCAGTTTAACCAGAAACACTGAAATAACCAAGATATGATAGGTTTATTATTATTTGATAGTACTATTATAAGTTTAGTATTACTTAGTAATATTGAAAAAAGAAAGCTTTAATCCACAGGCAGGTACAAGCTATCATTAACATTCTTAGATTGAATTTTATTTTTCTTCCTTTGATTGGACCTATTCATGACATATAATTAAAGTA